CCCCCACTGCTTACCGCGATCACCTTTTTCCGCGCGTCGTCGCACCGCAACCTACACATACCTGTCTCCCGAAAATCTACCCGGATTTCCCTCTTTTTTTTCTTTCTCGCGGCCCGATGTCTTGCCCTTGCCGATTTTCTTTTTTTAAAAAAAAAAACAGGGGAGGAAGAAGAAGAAGATCGAAACGGGTATGCATTGCGTTTGCTGGGTATGGGATATCGGTGTCGGGTAAGAGGGCGCGGGAGGGATAGTGTTAGGGCTGAGGGAGGGGAGGGATTTTTTGGGACTAGGTGGATTTGTCGTATGATGGATGGGTAGGCGAGGGGGGGAAAGGGTAAAGTTCGGGGTTTGTGATGAGGTGCAAGGGGATAAAAGATTTTTTTTTTGCTACGTAGGTAGTAAGGGGGAAAGGGAGTGTTGGGAGAGGCGTGAACATGGGGGGATGGGAAGGGCTAGATGCATGGTTGTCAGTTGCAAAAGGCCCCTAGGCGTATATTAGAGGATAAAGCATGTATGAAGGGATGATAAACTGCATTTGGATACATAGGATTTTTTTGGTCTTCTTTTTTACCATTTTGGGAATGTGTGGGGTTGTGCATGTCACGTGTGCACGTGTCATGACGATATAGAGGTATGGACCGTAAGTATGTAGGTAAAGGTAGATTGCAGCATGCGTTGCTTGTAAGTTGGGTAGCCGCCCCCATCGTCGGAAGATGCACCAGCTTACACAAGAGGTGGAAGTCTAGATGGCGGGGGGCGGTGCGTTGTGAGAGGTGGGGCTAAACGCGTGATTTATGTAATATTACACCGTCTTGGCGAGATACATACGTATGAAGCTCGAGACGAGAGATGATGAAAGAGCAAACAATGCAAGGGGAAGAAAGGATGGCGCTTAAGGTTCTTTATAATTTTGGTAGGAAAGGAAGGCTATGTAGTACAGTAATGCTTTACAGGGAAATAGGAGGCTGATCTAGGAACAAACAGAACGCTTAGATACAAGAAAAGAAAAATACGTTATGCTCGTAATAAATCTTCATCAACCTCCCAATTATCCCATGTAGGCTGGTCGAAACCATTTGGTCGCGAGCTGCGCAGGAATCCGTTCCAGTAGCCTTCAATGTTGACTACGGGTCGAATAGTCCTGACATTGGCGTTGAAACCCCTGCTAAAGCACTCCTGCATATGTCGGTCCTCAAACAGCTCTGGGTGTGTTCTTCTCATAGTCTTGAGGGCCCGCTTGCCAACCTCATCTACTGAATCGTAGTGACGTAGCTCGAAGAACTCCTTGTCGTGTTGCTTCTTGAGCTCGGCCATTGTGCGATCGTCGTAAAGACCAAGCTGAAGCAGGAATATGTCGTATTGGCATAGAGAAGTGAGACCAAGGTAGCTCCCACCAGATTTGGCCCGCCTGTAGAGCCCGACTAGGGCAGCGATGGTGCCCATGCAGCCTGTGCCATAGTCACTCATGGGGAACGGCGGTACGACAGGCTCGTTCAGCCCCATTGCTTGACCTTGTGCCCAGGCTACGCCGGTAACACAGTCTGCAATCTGTTGCCAACCTGGACGTGATGACCATGGTCCAACGTGGCCAAAGCAGTCCTCGGCAATATATACTATGCCCTTGCCACGCTTCTTCGCCAACTCGACCATTTTTTGTGGTCCATATCCAAGACGATTCAAGCTGCCAGGGCGATAGCCATCAAGAACAATATCTACAGATTGTAGAAGCTCTTCAAAGGTCTGTCGATCATTCGGATCCTTCAAGTTCAAGTCGGTCGTATGTTTTCCAATGTTGGCATCCACCTGGAAGAAAGGCACATCGGACAGGTTCGGCGATGTGACTTTAATAACTTCAGCACCATACTCGGCAAGACCACGGCCCATTGCCGGGCCGGCAATGATTCGGCAAAGCTCAAGAACACGGATGCCAGAGAGGATCTGCGGCTTTGGTGCATGTGAAGATCGGAAGGGTAGTGGGGTTGGTGGTGTGTCGGTTTCCAGAGGTTCTACTTTCCAGGGTGGCTCCTGCATCAGTGCTTGACCGTGTTCAGTAGTTCGGAAGTCATCCCATTTTAGGCAGGTCACACCAGCTTGTTTGATCGCCCGATTCTTTTCTTCAAGCTCTTCTACCGTAAATTGTCGGACGCGATCCTCAATTACTTTGATGCACTCGTGATAATCGGTCAAGTCAGGTCGGAAGCCTTCCAGACCAACCATGTTCAGTGCTTTGGTTGCCTCGAGGGAGCCATGCAGGTGAAAGTACTCTCCCGGTCTCTTGGTCTCATAGAGATTTGCAGACAACCTGCGGTAGAGAATAGACTGGGCTTGGAGAAGGTCCGTGTCTGTCTTGGTCAGGTGACTAATATGAGCGTCTAGATTGTCAATGCTTACTTTTCAGTAACTTTTTGACCTTGGGATTCGACTTGTCAAGGCCTCCTACAGTGGTGAGGTAGGTGGAGAAGAGAAAAGCTGTTGCTCTTTCAAGATCGACTGCAATGTGGCGATCTTTTTGATCATTGTGAAGATCAGCTATAGCAGAGGCAACGCCTGCCTCGACAGCCTTGAGGGCCGAGATTGCTTCCGTCTGCTTCAATGGGCTTGGAAAGTAGGGTGATCCTGTGTTGGCGGTCGAGAACTTGACATTGGTAATATGCTGCAGTGACTCTTGAGGGAGGTTGTCTTTGGCCTTTGCTAGAAGTTGGTCCAGGGCTGTTCTTGTACCCAACAGCAAAGCGTTTGGTTGGGTGGACTGATTGTTTTGGTCCTGTTCTGTTCCTAGAAAGGGTGCCATGGTGATAATGATGGTATCCAGATGTGTACTCTGGCAGGCCGAGTGACGGCAGCGGCGGCTTAAGAGCAAGCCATGGGAGCCGTTGACGGGCGGACCGAGACGCCAAGATTGGTAACGGCAGAGCCGTTGAAAGAAGTGTCTGGCTGCATGTCGAGGCTGGTCCTAGTAAGCCATTGTGGCGATGAGCGTGGTCTACCAACCACGGCATGCATGTGGACGGCATGATGCCGAAGGCGGACTGGCCCAGCATGTAGGAACACGGTTTCTGTGACGATCGGCAGACGTTGCTGCGCTACCCGACTTCCGGAAAGGTGCTGGCCCAAGCTTTGCGTGATGCTTAGGGACGACCCCATGGGCATTGCACCCATAAACCATCCGCAGGACCGTCTCTGTCGTCCCGTCATCGCCGGCTCGCGCGCCAGTCGCTCGACTCGAAACTGTGGGACCCCTTTTGCGTCGCCGTTGCATTCGGCGGTGGGGGGTGCGAGCGAGTCCCGGGGTGCTCTCCTTACCGTTCTCACCTCGAGCGAGTGCATCTTCCGATCACACTTCATCGTTCCGTCGCGTCGGCAATGTCCCCATCAGCATTGAGCACTCAACGCCGCTGCACGTGACGAACCACCGACCTCAGCCGAGGCGCATACGTACATAGCCTTTACAGGATGACGCGCCCAAAGGTTCCACCAGGTCCGTTTCGCATGTGTCGGTGTGGCTGCCGTAGTGGTGCTAACACGGTATTGCATAGATCAGCGGCAGCGCACTGCACAGGCATGCGAGAGCTGCAAGCGCAGAAAACAAAAGGCGAGTTGTGCGCTTTCATCCCACTCTAGGACGGCTGCTTCACAGAGAGGGCTCATCTTGCGTGTTGCCACTCCTCGGCGCTGAACCGTGGTGTACCCGCCTCATGGCATGCCACCCAACGGTTTGATTTGGCCACGCTCAAACACAGCGGAGCCGGATATTTGTACGAGCAGGCTCGGGACATGTCATTAGCCTGTGCAATGCTCCGGGGGCATGCACGCAAGAATAGCCCTTTTGGTGCACATGTCTAACGTAGACGTCCTAGTCTAGTCCTGCCCCTCCATCATTACAGCACCTCCGTCAAGCCCTCCAATCAACAGGACCAAAGCTAACCATCCAAAAGTGTAACGGCCTCCAACCTTGCAACACTTGTGACAAGGTAAGCCTTCAACCTATCCACGCATCAATGTGCTAAAATTGGTCAGCGCAAATTCACATGCATATACACGGACCGAGACCCAAACTCTCCAAGCGAAGACAGGCCACCCGCGAAGAAGCGCGTAGTTGAAACTACTAGCAACGCCCCAAGCCCCGTGTATGTACTTACATTTCTCTCAATCAGGCGGCTGTACTTGTCAAACATGCGTGGTATCTGCATGTACACAAGAGTGATCCATGAGGGATATTCTTGACGTACATTTTGATTCGGTTCATCTTAATACTAACCCGTCTCTCTCACTTGTAGTATAAATGGTAATTCGTCGGCAAACACACCCACCAATGGGCAGGCCCAGCCCTCACCACTGTCCCTGCACCGACGGACATCTACCGCTCCCCAACAGCCATCCCTCGTGTCCCGTGCAGTGAGCTCGAATCAGGAGGCTTCTTATCCATCCCCTGCTGCGAACTCTGCTGCTGTACCTCAACCGCCAGCGAATCATGGCAGTGACGGCAGCAGACCGACAGTGTCACAGGACACCACCTCGCATGATGGTGGAGATGATGTCGCTGAGTTCCCGAGTCAGAGTAGGATGCTACAGGACCCTACTGGTCGGGTACTGTATATCGGTGATGCAGCTACCTTATCTTTCCTCCAGCTCCTTCGGATGATGGTTGAGACGGTAGCCGGACCTTCTCCATTCACTACCGACCCTCGTCGACATAAGATAGTAGAGGGTCAGTACTCGCTTCCACTTGGATACCAGCATACCCATCTCCTACCCGACGAGCAGACGGCCCGGGTTCTGGTAGAGGCCTTCTTCATCAACACCCATGGGCTATTGCAAGTCTTTAACCGTGACTCCTTCTTCAAAAGCTTGGAACAATGCTATTCGGATCCGCTCTCGGTGAGTTCGTCATGGCTATGCTTGCTCTATCTGGTGTTTGCCATTGGTTTGACAATGGCAACGCCGCTGTCTGGTAGTCCAGAAGCTCTCATCATTGACAAGTTACGGAGCGAGCATCTTGACCGAGCAGAAGCATTCTACCTGAACGCTAAGAACCTCAACGATCCTATGACTGGGCTAGAGGATCAGGACTTTTGGTCTGTTCAAGCTTTGCTACTCATGTCAGTCTACATGTTGGCCAAGACAAAGCGGAATACTGCTTTCGCCCTGCTTGGCATGGCGGCACGATCCGCTCTTGCACTGGGTCTCCACAGAGAAGAGACCATGGTGATATTCAGCCCAGAAGAGCAGGTTCAGCGGAAGGATCTATGGCGATCCATTTTTGTTATCGACCGTCTGCTATCATGCTCCTTGGGTCGTCCAACTGCTATATCTGAGGACGACTGCTCGGGTGACACGCTCCAGCCTTCTGACGGTGACTACAACCAGTCCTGGGGCTTTACTCCAAAGACAGTGTACGACTACGACGAAACAGGGCCCGCAGCACTGGAAGCTGCT